GAATAACTTTTAGCTGAATATATTTACGCTAAATAACAACCAATTGAGTTGATAATATATAACATCTAATATGTACATTAGTTTTTCAACTCGAATGAAGAAAACAATGAAAGTAAAAAAAAAAAAATGAAAGTTAGGATGATTCGTTTTCAAGATTAAGTTAAATTCCATAAAATAGTATATTTGGTGTCACGAGATTTTCGCCAATCTCCGGCAGAAAACTGGGTGATGAATATCAATCTCCATCTCATATAATGTATATGTGCTCGGTGATGGGTGAAATTTGTCCTCTCTGTCTCTGAATTTTAAAAGATAACTGGAACAATTTTAATTTAAATCATGCATGTGTCCTGTATAAAGTTATCGTTCTTATACTTGAAATATGAATTTTGGTTCCTTTCTTTTTCTTTTATCTATAACTGTAAAGTGAAATTGAATATGACTTCTACAAAAACATAAAATACAATTAAATAAAAGTTGGAACGATTCAGTTTGAATTCACTGTTCGAAATGAATCTAATCATTGGTGGTAAATGATTAAAATGATAATAGTTCGGATAATTATATATCAGTGGTTGACTTTGACAATAGAGAAAAAAGCAAGTCAATGATATTATGCCTTCGAAGTTGTCTCTTGGTGGTTTCATTAAACAAGACATCCTCAGTCAAAATTATATGCTCTCTCTTTTTATTTCCACCGACTAGCTAGTAGCTTATCTCTTTACCATGATACAGCTTGTATATTCAAAGAAATTTCTATTTTACAAAAAAAATCATACGGTTTCCATAAGTTTGTAATACTTTTTTTTATCATCAATATTATCGTCTGAAATGATAATTCCTCTGCAGCACACTTTTAAAGTCGAATTCATTTCACAAAAAGAAAATTCCACAACAATTACACATATTTTCTCTATAGCTACCTGACATTTTGTGATTTTAAAAAAATATATAATGATAAATTGCGCTTAAATTAACATTAATAGTATAACCCTATTTCAGCTATTTTAAGAATCAACTAAAATAAATCTTATTGAATTTCTTTTGGTAAATACTCTTACTCTCAATATTTTGTGGGCAGTAGAATAGTTTATTGACCAAGTCTATAAAATCATTAAACATCATTATCTTGCTCCCCAAGTTTGATTTTCCTTTGACAAAGTATATATGCATAATCGTTATCGTATAGTCGACTTTTTTTTTTAATTACATTAATAAAATCAACAATTAGATTCACAAATTCGACTACAAATATTATATGTAACTGTAGAATATATATTTTTAAATGAATGAATACAACTTCAAGCTAAAAGAGAATGAATAAAATGTACAAGTTGTGATTTTAACGGTCACACACGTTTTTTCGTCATCAGAAAATTACACGTATGCATGCCAGCTGCGAGTAACTGGTTAATTACTTTAATTTAGGGAAGTGAATAACTAAACTACAGCCATCACTATCCATATATTCTCTTTGTTTTGTACCTTCCCCATGCAGAAATCTACTATTATTGGCCAATGGTTCAAATTTTTCATGGCGGTGAATACTTTAATTTTTTTAATTCTTCATAGAATAAATACATAGTAGTATTTACTAGCTAATCCAAAAGAATAGAGAAACGAATATACCATTATAGTAGTCGATTTAATCATTTTAAAATGTCAACTATGCCCGTTACATTTTTCATTATCCTAACGTTCTGACCAAAACTTTTTAATCTATATTATCGCCACATAATTCATTGATCTAATCTACGAAGCAATATTTGACCTAATAACATCACTATTGTATAGTATTGTGGTACCAACTGGTATCGGAGATTTTTTTTCCAACACGTATCAATACTGTAAACCCGTTAACCAACTACAAATTTGGCCAATTTAGCCGACTTTTTTTTTGTCTAAAGAGTGTTAAGATGCTTTCGTTTATACCGTTCATCCCATATTAGTTTCATTTTGTTTTTTCAACAGAAACTATTGATCCAAATGATTATAGATATAGGTACGATTTGAACAAACTTTGATTCTCTTACCAATCATCTACAACTTAAAACCAAGATAGCTTCGCTCAAAAGGAAAAAATAATGAAAATATATATGTATAATACATATATAGGTTCAATGGACCGGCTCGTCTACACCGTTATGCAAACTAATTATTATATTGATGATTACCAAATCAGCTTATAAAATTCCCATAATTCTGCGTCGTGTGCCGAAGTTGCTCGTTACATTGTTATTCCCACGACTTTTTTTTTGCCTATATATACAAACCCTTTACCACCAAACTCAAATCACACAACAAACAACAACTTCTACAAAGCTCAAAGAGTTTCTTATTTATTAAAAAGAAAAATGAGTCGTGGTTATAATTTGCTATTCGTTCTAGTCACGTTTTTAGTATTGGTTGCAGCTGTAACCGCACAAGGGAACCGTGGCTCAAACAACGGTGGTGGTCGAAGACCACGATTTGGGTTTTATGGGAATAGATGCCGAAACGTAGAGTCTATTGTGAAATCTGTGGTTGAGTCTCATGTCCGGTCTATCCCGGCTAATGCACCTGGAATCTTGCGTATGCATTTCCACGATTGCTTTGTCCGTGGCTGTGATGGCTCGGTTCTCCTCGCTGGTAACACCTCAGAGAGAACCGCAGTTCCAAACCGTTCACTGAGAGGTTTCGAAGTTATTGAAGAGGCTAAGGCTCGGCTTGAGAAGGCTTGTCCTCGAACCGTTTCTTGTGCTGATATTCTCACCCTTGCTGCTCGAGACGCTGTCGTTTTGGTAATATACTGAAATTATTACACGCACTATATCATAATTCGGTTTTTTATCCGTGTCACATGATTAAAATATATAGCACTTATGGTCTCGTGTTTAACGGTAATTTAATTTAATATTGGTTTATGCAGACCGGTGGACAACGCTGGGAAGTGCCATTGGGACGTCTCGACGGCCGAATCTCGCAAGCCTCAGACGTGAACTTGCCCGGACCAAGCGACTCAGTTGCTAAGCAGAAGCAAGACTTCGCTGCCAAAACTCTTAACACATTAGACCTCGTAACTCTTGTTGGTACGTTGTCATTGCATATGGTTTAAATGTAACACTTAAGAATTAATCAGAAAAATAATTAGCTCGTATATATACTATATATCCTACTAGCTAATTAATTACTAAGTGAGTTTTTTGGTTTTGACCAGGCGGACACACAATAGGAACTGCTGGCTGCGGTCTAGTAAGGGGAAGGTTCTTTAACTTCAACGGCACAGGACAACCCGACCCATCAATCGACTCGAGTTTTGTGCCGCTGATTCAGGCTCAGTGCCCTCAAAATGGAGGCACCCGAGTCGAGTTAGACGAGGGAAGTGTTGGTAGGTTTGACACATCGTTCCTAAGGAAGGTGACGTCAAGTCGCGTGGTTCTTCAATCCGATCTACTCCTATGGAGGGATCCCGAGACCCGAGTCATCATTGAACGGTTATTAGGTTTACGCCGACCATCCTTGAGGTTCGGATCCGAGTTCGGGAAGTCGATGGTCAAGATGAGTCTCATAGAAGTTAAGACTCGATCAGCTGATGGTGAGATTCGTAGGGTTTGCTCTGCGATCAATTAAGAATTAAAAAACACAAATGTGTGGTTTTTTTTTAATTTATGAATTTTATAAGTAATAATCATTTGTTTTTATAATAAGCTTGCTACAGCATTTTGTGGTCGATGGTTACGTTTTGATTTTTCAAGTGTAAGATTGTACTTGTAAAAAAAATGTATTACATAAAGTGTTATTTGTTTCTTCACTCGTGTACGGAAGCTAAGGTACTTTTTTTTTTTTTTTTTTTTGTTAATTAGCTAAGTTACTTAAATGAACGAACTTTTCAAGGAAAGAAAGTGTTGAATATGTTTTGATTAACGGAAGCTTATCTATTCTCCATCAGTAGTGATTGGCAGTTCATAAATTAATTATTAATCACTAGTTTTATATATTTTATTCAAAATAACGGAGTTGATATTTCATTATCTGAAAAGATTAATAAATATATTATGTTGTTTGGTCAATTCATGGAAGAATTAGGACCTCTTGTGGATTCCAGCGAATACAATCGCTAATCATTACCCTAAATTTGTTTTTATCGAAAATGCTTAATTAGAAACGAACCTTTTTTTGCTGGTCAAAAGGAAACAAATTTTCTAAGTAGTATGTAGAACAATGATGTTTTAACTTATTACTAATACAAGATTTGGGTGTTTGATTTCTGAATAGCGGTTATGCTCTCATATTCAATGCAACATCCCCACTTAAAAAATCGAAACAAATCACTTATGGGTGTGTATTGATTCATAATCCATGTGTGTATATTGATTAATTAAAAAATTTGGACTATCAACAATATAGAACCAAAAATATGTATCACCAAAGTGTTTTGGAAGATATTAGATCGATGGAGAATGATGTTTACGGGTCCTCGGTTCTCTTTTGTGCCAAAATAAATAGGCCATTGTGCTGATAAGTTAGCCAAAAAAAGCTCCACAGATGATCAAAATTGACGAATGATTGTAATTTCCTTCCTAAAGTCTTTACATCAAACATAAATCATGATGTACTTAGTAGTACATACAAAAAAATGCATGAAAACTTTGGGCTTTTAGGGTTTCATTAGGTATTGGCCTTTTCTCGATTTGGGCTCCTTTTTATTTTGGTTTTTGCAGTTTTGGACTTTTGGTATTACACAGATTTTGCAGAGCAACACCACTCAAGAGTAAAGACACAAAGGATTAGGTAACGATTTAGAAAAAACATAAACAAGATTGTTTTGATACAATCAATCTCAAATGCAAAACATTCAGGAATACGGTAAGAAGTAAAAATAACAATTTAAATCCAAATTTGATCAAATCACAACAAAACGTAGTTAAAAAACGAAGTGATTTGTCTTTTGTTACCAACGGAAAACGAACAGTGTATTCATAATTTGATTGTTGAGAAACTCATGGCGACGAACACAAGAATAAAAGAATACAAGACTATTGCCACAACCGCAAATTGAGATTATACAAGTACAACAGAAACAAAGATCATCCACTACGGCAAATTACCTTCACATTCTCACAAACTTCTCTAAGTCAAACCAAATTAATCCTCAAAAGTCTTCAAGCATCACAACAATGTAAAACCACAACAAAGATTCTACATCAATCTGCAATTTTTTCTCACATGTTTCAAATACAACTATACATGATAACCTACACACAAACCAAAACAATTTCAGATTAACAGAAACACTACACTCACTTTGACGCCAGAAGAATCTCTGGTTTTTTCGCCTTGCTTGGAGTGTTAACATTCGACGAGCCATTAACAGTCTCTGCAGCTACGGTCTTTGCCGTGGTTCGTGCGCTTGTATCGAGGTTAACCAAACTCCGTGTAGCTAAAATCGCCTGTGGATTCAGATCATGAGAGGCTCTTGCGTACAATGATCTTACTGCATTGGAAGCTGCATCTTTAACATCTCCAGTGTTCAATGGACTAAGCAAGCAATGACCTAGAATCCGTAGTGTAGGTTGAAACAGTTCCCATGGAAGTGGAATCCTCACGCCTCCTACAAGGCCGCCATTGGAGCTAAGTTGTTCTCCGTTCTCTCTGATTGCTAATCTATCAAAATCCTCTTCGATCTCAAGACTACGTCCACTACTGCCATTAAAAGAGGAGGAATCTCCAAAACCATTAGTTAGTGCTAAGACTTTGTCTTCGTCTCCATCGATCCTTTCCTTGCAATCGCAATCTTGACCAGCCCAATTAGCAGCGAATTTACAGAATTCAAGCTTAGACCAAGCCGGCATCTGTGAGATCTCCTTGAAATAGCATTGTAGTCCTACGCCAACGATGCTGGCTCGTTTAGTTGACTTAACCGCGATCTGAGGCTCAAGCTGCGGAGACAAGACTCCAACGGAGGCGGTGGGATTGGAATCACGCGATTTGTCAACGCCGTTTCTCGGTGTGTGGTAGAGAGATGGCTGAGAGAGATCTGGAATGTGTACGAGTATAGGTTTACCTGCGCGAGCTTTAACCTCGGCGGCGTAGATTGCGAGAAGCACAGCTTCGAATCCGGATAGAGAAGGAAGAGACGAAGAATCTGAGGAATGAATTCGAGCAAGGTACATTCCGACGAGTAACGGAAGGAACGAGAGGACGACGAGACGAAGCGGTGGATCAGAGGAGAGGTAGGTTTCGTATAGCCATTGACAAAGAGGATCAGATCCAGAACCAGAAGCTGGATTGCAAAGAGAAGTCGAGATCAAAGAGTAAGCAGCGCGAGAAGAAAGTAACGATAACGCCGGCCGATCGGAATCTGCAAGAGAGGAGATCGGAGTTACGTCACCGTCTTCAAAGTGAGAATCGCCGGAGAGGAGAGATGAGAGAGAGAGTATGCGAGAGCGTTGCTTTGAGACTGATTCCCACCAGGAATGCATCGGATCTCGATCGGCGGTGGATGAGATTCCTGCGGCGGCACTAGCGGTTGGTGTGGTGGCGGATTTGAAACGATGAGGAGTAGAAGAAGAGGTGGAAGACGATGGAGAAGGTGAGCCGCCGGGAGGTTTGACGGAGAAGTCCATGGTAATTGAGTCTGACTTGAGTTGAGACAAAGGGAAGTTTTCGCTGGATTCCTTTTAGGAACACCGATAAAGAAGCAAGATTGAAAATTATTTGTTTCTTTGAAGATGAGGACCGATTCAGACAAGTTGTTTCTTATGGGGCAATTCGGGAAGATAATAGAAGTTATGAGGTGGGTTTGTTATGTATTTCTTCAACTATCCCACCATAGCCCATAGGTGTCAAATTGAATGGGCTTGATGGTTTATGGCCCAAAATTAGTTACCGTCAGTATTGCTTGAAGTCGGTAGGTAGCTTTTGTGACGATCCGAATAGCTCCGATTCTGTGATCTCTTTACACGTCGACCATATCACCAACCGGAATCTTTTTTATTTTTGGAAATAAGATTTGATGCTTTTATCATACAATGGAGAATCATCCCGAGTATAAATACAAATCCATGTGTGGAGCTAAAGAGTAAAGAGTAAGTTATATAACATTAACATGTCTCTCTACTCCTACCTTCCAAAATCATTTAAAACAAAAGAAGAAGTAACTTACTTTTTCTTCTTCTATGTAGGTGAATCGTGGAAGCTAAATATAGTACTCTTCTTCTTTTTTGTACGTATAATATTTATCTATTTACTTATGTACATTAAGCTATCAACATAAATGCAATATTGACATGCTAAGTAGTATTGCATCGATGAAAAAAAAAAAAAGAAAAAAAAGTAGTATTGCATTCAGATGCAACTAGTTCAATGACTTAACTCGGTGGTTTAAAAAACGAATGGACTCATGGATTATCATCGATTCACAACCACATAGAAACTGAAAAGGCCAAACATCAATTAAAGAAGGGTTTGAAAACAAAACCTTTCCTTAAATGAGGTTTGTTATTTTCAAGAGAGTACAATAACAAACAATAATATTTACAGTATTAATCATTTTTTTGGTTAAAAAATTTACAATATTAATCATATAAGTCCAGAAATAAAAATTCAATTTTTTTTTTATCGATATCAATTTATATTGTTGTTTTTTTCTTTCTTAAGACCCAACTTATTTACAGTAATTAGTTTAGATTTTTGTTTGGAATCCCTAATTGTCCGAAAGATCCCGCAAATTTCGCCTAAAAGGAAAGCGAATGAACAAAGAAATCGGAGGTGCATTTAATTTTTTTCTTAGTAGTGTATGAAAAGCTAATAAATTTCCAAAATAGTTTTAAAATAATAAATTAAATAAATGAGTAAAAACTAAAAAAAGCAAGAAAAAAAAGAAGGAAAGTCTCTTGGTGAAAGACCCACACGATCACGCATCCATATGGAAAATGCAAAGAGACACGTATACCTAAACGTCATCGTTTTGCACATTACCCCAAAACCCCTAAACCGACCTACAAAAATCCCTTCTTCTTCCTCTTCACTTTTTCTCACTTCCCACCATTAAAAACCTCTCTCTCCTTCTCTCTACTCTCTCCTCAGAAACCTCAAAAACTCAAAAGAGAGAAGAAGAATCAAAATCCCACACAATGGCAACACTCTCATCTTTCACAGCAACAACACCTCTCCTTGTCATCGTTCTTCTATCTCTCTCCTCCGTCTCAGTTCTCGGCGCATCTCACCACCACGCGGCGGCGCCGGCTCCGTCTGTAGACTGTTCGACTCTCATTCTCAACATGGCTGACTGTTTGTCCTTTGTTTCTAGCGGAGGCACGGTGGCGAAACCGGAAGGTACATGTTGTTCTGGTCTTAAGACGGTGCTTAAAACTGACGCTGAGTGTCTCTGTGAAGCGTTTAAGAGCAGTGCTTCTCTTGGAGTTACTTTGAATATCACCAAGGCTTCTACTCTTCCCGCCGCATGCAAGCTTCACGCTCCTTCTATCGCTAATTGTGGATGTAAGATCTAATCATTTCTTAACTTGTTTGTTTCTTAGATCTCTTCTTTTGTAGATCTTAATCTTCGAGAGCGGTTTCTTAGATCCACATTTTTTTATAATTATTTTCAGTTTAATTTGTCGCTTTTCGAAACTTGTTGAGATTCTTTTTTCTGTTGTTGATTAAGTTACTTACAATGCTTTTTTTTGTTGTTCTTACAGTGTCTGTTGCTCCAAGTACTGCTCCAGGTATTTTGTCTTTCTCCTTTGTTGATTTTTAGTTTTGTTTAATTTTACTTTTTAGTTTTTGTCTCATGCAATGCTTTATTATGTTTTTAAATTCCCACTTGAAAACAATGAAATTAAAAATTGTCTATTGATTGATCATCTGAGTTCTCACTTAAAGTGATAATCGCTTATCTAGACTCTTAAACACCAAAATTATAGTCGGAGTTTTTTTAATTAATACAGAGACATGATAATAGTTTTTGTGGATGTGAAACCTTTTATGAAAAAATATCCCATCTTTGATCATTGAGATTCCTTATCTGTGATCTTTTGTAAAAATTTGCTTGATTGATTGAAATATCGGCTCCATATCAGTTATGTGATTTCGAGTTGAGATGTTTACGCGTTTGAAATTTCTTAATTTGGAACCAATTCTTTTCAGATATTTCTCCAGGAGGAGCTGCTGCTGGACCTGAAACAGCCGGAGTTCTAGCTCCAAACCCATCTCCAGGGAACGATGGATCTTCTTTGATTCCGATCTCGATCACAACCTTATTCAGCGCCGTATTGTTCGTTTTGTTCTCCTCTAGAGTGTAATAAAAACCTGAACCTTTTTTCACCAGCTAGATTTGGCTGTATGAAATTGGTTTAGGTTTTTATTAGAGTTAAATCTGTGTGTTTTGGAGTGTTCTGTTTTGAGACCATATCGGTTTCTCTATTACAGTAGCTTTTACTCTTTTAGTCTATGTTATTACTTTGTGTCGCACATTGGTCCTTTTGTTCGATATCGCTTATTCCTTCCTCTATGTTTTCTCTCTATCTCTCTCATGGTCCTAATTTTATTTAGAAGAAGGTTGAATTGTGGGAGATGTAGTTATAAGAATTTATAGCCGTAAAAAACTTAGGCAGATCAAAATTATTATATACCTTATTATGCATTTGTCATCTTCTTACAGTTCACATTACACAAAAAGAAAAATCAAAGAATTCCAAGTTAGACAATTCAAAATTTTTAAGACAAACATTTACATAACCCTTTCTAGAAAAGTATGGTATAATAATAATGCAATGACTAACTAGTAAAATAAAACGTTATGTAGTTAAATTTCTTTTATAATCATTAAATTCTTTAATTTCGATCAGTCTTCTCTTAAAAATTAGGTAATAAATTACGTCATCATTTTACTAGATGAAATTTGGAAATTTTCTTAGAAAGATTTTGTGCCCATACTGAGCTACTCAACCTCCCCATAAACATAACTTTTACTCTTCAGAAGTATGATCAGTCTTTCTGGAATATAAAATGGTCCACATAGCACAAACTGTTTCCCACTAGTATCCATGTCAAAAGAATTTTATACATTTTGTTACTGTGCAGTTTGACTATAGTAACAATTACAACTTGTTTTATCAAACGAGTACACAATTTCTTGATCTGAAAATGAACGCATGTGTATGTGTTAAATAAAAGTTTCAAATGAAAAAGCAAGATTCATGAAAAAGTGAAGAGTAAAAACATGGACGAAGAGATGAGGCGGATTGTATCATCCATGATCATAAGAAAATTAGAGACATGAAAGTGAAACTCCTTTGCAGATTTTGCCTCACGTAATATTTTTCTTCATTGAAGTTAAAAGTACAGTTTTTATTAATTTTGATGAAGGAAAAACAAAATGTTACGTGACATCGTGAACGATAAATACTTTTTTTTTTCTCTTAAACTGTTACGGGTAAACTTTTTTTTTTTTTTTTTTTTTTTTTTTCAGATTATTACTTCCGTTTTCTGCGTGTGATTAGCTATTTAGTTTATCAGATTCAAAATTCAAAATTCAAAATTTCAATGTTAATTAATTTTGGGAAGAGAGTAGTACTAATAATAATTTGGAAATTTGAGCAAAGGAAAAAACTTGAAAAATCCTCGCGCGCGTCGGCCTCACGCGCGGCGAAAACTCTCTCTACTTCCTTCTTTGCAAAAACCCTAGATCTGCATCGCACTTCGCCTCTCCGGTCATGGCTCTCCTTGCCGGTGACCGGAGAGGGCTTCCCTTTCTCTCCATCGCTTCTCTCTTTCCTCTTTGTTGTTGTGTGCTTTCACCGTTCCTTGGCGCTCAATGTCTCGTCTCTCCGTCCTCCGCTTCGGTCTCGCTTCATGGTGGTGGGTGGCGTCTGGTTCTCTCTGCACGGCGCATCACCATCTTCAGATCTCATTTCGTCGATTAGAGTGGTCGGTGGTGGCTAGCGTTTGGCTTCAGGTTTCGGTTTCTTCTCTTCGGTCTGTCCTCCTTCGATTTTCTCAAGCGACCGGCAGTGGTGCGTGAGGATTAGGATTTGGTGACACTCATGGAGGCTAAGCACGGCGTGGAGTGCGAGTTTTTCTCGGATTCGGTGCCTATGTTTAGTTCTTGTGGCAGATGGATCGTCATGGGTGTCAATTGGTTGAATGGCGTATCTCCTTCATTGTGTGGGCTAAGGTTGGTGTCCTCTTCGTCAGCCAAGGGCATGGTCTTGTTTGCCTTTCGTCAGGTTTCCCTCTGCTTCGCTTTCCGTTGTTGCTCGTTGGTGGAGTTTGTGTTTTTGTTGTTGTTGCTTTTGTTCATGCTGCGGATGGGGGTTTAGTGGGATGCTTCGGCAAAGCCTTTTGGTGAATGAATAGAGGCGGCGGTTTGGTCTAAGTGGCTTCGCTTTCCCGTGGGAGATGGTTCTTGTCGCTCGCGATAGGAATGGTGGTCGGAGGCGGCTTCTCCGATAACCCGCAGAGGCTCCTGTGCCGCAGGGTTCGCGCTTAAGTCCGCAATTGTCTTTCCGTTTTTGCGTTAGTCTTCGGAGAAGCTGTAGGCTCCTATCCCGAGGTTTTGAAGGACGGTCTTGGTTGGATGCTCGTGGCAACTACGATGAAGACTCCAGGTTGTTTGATCTGTGGAAATCACGCAAATTTCCATGCTTCACAGTTTGGAATCGGTGTTTCTTCCCGTGGCTTAGCCATAAGCTCTCGCTTGCTTTCCTCCGTAGTTTGAGTTGTGATGTTGTATTTTATTTTCTGTAGTTTTCATTTTTCTGCTACTTGTTTGCTCTGTAATTTCTGTCAAAATTTCAAAAATGGTATAAAATTTAACCTTTTACCAAAAAAAATAAAAATAAATAATAATAATTTGGAAAGAAAATAATGATTAATCAACTGTCCAAGTGTCCCGTTGTGGACAAATCACGTTTACTTCCCACGAAGGATTTTCAACTTTATGATCGCGTGGACTTTCCAGCGCACGTTAGATCTCTTCCCTCGCAAAAAAAAACAAAATTAAATAAATTAATTAAATAGTACGAATTACTAAAGACCAAAAATTAAATTTAATAATAAAAAACTCAAAAAAGTTAAAATAATTTCAAAGTATTGCGATCAATAATTACTTTCCCCTCTCTCTCTGTCTGCCACCAACAGCCGAGGACGACGACCGTATCCACCACAAACCGCTTCCGGCTGAGACGACGGCGATCTACTCCGGCTGGTTCTGCTACTTGATTCTGCTCTGAATTTTATTAGATTTTATCAAGCAGACAATCTCGGATAGCAGGAAGAACGGGATTATCGTTTGATTAGCTCATCGCTTGCTTCTTTTCGTGAGATTTAGTTTTGGTTTCTGGAGAAATTTCCGATCGCCTTCGGTTTCCGGCGATTGGATTGAGTAGGATACGGAGGAGTCTCTATTTTGGCGTGGTTTTCTCGCGATTAGGTTTGCTGGCGTGGGAAAGTTAAGCATTGTAAAGCCAAAATTTCGTCGATTAGACATCGAGCTTTTGAGCTTTTGGTGGTTATAGATAGGCTATTAGGTTTTTGAGTTAAGGTTTTACGTATTATCCTAGGGTTTAGTTATTGGGGAGAGAGAGGCTCCGTTAATCTGGTTTGTTGAAGAGTCTCCTGGATCTGTTGTCTCGACGGATGATTTGCTTCTGTGAGCTAGGGCTTTCTATGCTTGGCTGATCAGGATGCCGATGGGACGGTTTCTATCTCTGGTCCGAGGAGACTCGGCTGAGTCACCTCGTGAGATTACCTCACAGAGTAATATCATCGGCGATACTGGTTCTAATGGTTGGCTTATTAGGTTTTTTGATTCTGCTTTCTTCTGTGAGTGGATTGCTGTTAGTTATCTGTACAAGCACCCTCATGCTGGTGTTAGGGACTACTTATGCAATAGGATGTATACGCTTCCCTTGTCAGGTATTGAGAGTTATCTGTTCCAGATTTGCTACATGATGGTGCACAAACCAAGCCCATCTCTTGATAAGTTTGTAATAGACATCTGTGGAAAGTCACTGAAAATCGCACTGAAAGTGCATTGGTTTTTGTTGGCTGAGCTGGAGGATTCTGACGATAATGAAGGCATCAGCAGGATTCAAGAGAAGTGTCAAATTGCAGCTACTTTGATGGGGGAGTGGTCTCCTCTCATGCGTCCACAGAACGAGGTCTCAACCCCAGGGAGCAAGAATCAGGTCCTAAATAGACTTTTGTCATCAAAACAGAAGCTCTTCTCGTTAAAGTTATCTCCTCCCACCCAGAAGTCTTTGTCATTCTCACCTTCGCCAGGGACCAACGTGCAGGATGATGGTAGTCAGTTACCTGCTGAGGATAATAAGATTTTTAAGAAACTTATCCCAAGTCCTAAAGTCAGAGATGCTTTAATGTTTAGAAAGTCAGTTGACAAAGATGATGAAGAGAGTGAAAAGGAAGGATTCTTCAAGAGGCTCTTGAGGGACAGCAAAGGTGAGGGTGATGAACCAATACCTAACTCAGAGGGTTTCTTTAAACGCCTTTTGAAGGACAATAAATCAGAAGATGAGGACATAACAAACAGTTCCGAGGGGTTCTTCAAGAGGCTCTTGAGTAGTAAAGGAGAAAGCGAGGAATTGACATCGAGTTCAGATGGGCTGTTTAAAAGGTTATTACGAGATAATAAGGGAGATGAAGAGGAATTGGGTGCAAATCCAGACAGTTTCTTCAAGAGATTGTTACGGGAGAGTAAAACCGAGGACGAGGAGTCAAACCCAAACTCAGAAGGTTTTTTTAAGAAACTATTCCGTGACAGCAAACCTGAAGAAGATAAAGTTTCTAAAGAAGTGGATGATGAGGACAAAGATGGGTTCCTTAAGAAACTTTTCAGGGAAAAAAGTGATGACAAAAGACATGGTAGTGAAAAGAATGAAACCAATGGAACAGTGTCTGCCGACAAGAAATCTGGTGAAGAGGATGAAAGGGAGGGGTTTTTCAAAAAATTCTTTAAGGAAAAATCTGATGACAAGAAAGACATTGTCAAGGTCGATGACGGGAATGAAAGTGAGGGTGAAGAATCTCCAGAATTTTCTCTGTTCAAAAGATTATTCCGTATACATCCCGAAGATGCAAAACCTACTTCAGAAAATGAAAATAGCGGCAATGGCTTAGTTGAAAGCAGTCCTGGGACAGAAAACTTTTTCCGCAAGTTGTTCAGAGATCGTGACCAATCTGTTGAAGATTCTGAACTGTTTGGATCAAAGAAACAAAAGGAGGTTTGTCCTCATTTGACTTGGTCTTTAGTTTTACTGTCTTATTGCAGATACTGGTTGCATTTGCACTGTTTTGACATTCACTTTTCATTCGATCCACATCTTCAGATTCATTTTTCAAGATTCTTGTAGGATACAATCATATGTACTCCTTCTTGTGAATTTTACCTGACACAAATGTTGGCTGAAACAGGGTGGTTGTTCGACTTCAGTTGATTATTTATCTATGCCCAACATTCTTTCTTTCATATGTGCTTGATTAATCTCATACCAATGTTTCTAATTATAACCATTGCAGAAACGGCCAGGCTCCCCTAAACAGCGGGATGATACTCCATCTGGTAAGCCCCCGCTACCAAACAATACTGCATCACAATTCAGGAAAGGGGCTTACCACGAGTCGTTGGAGTTTGTACAAGCGTTATGTGAAACATCGTATGGTTTGGTAGATATCTTTCCTATTGAAGATCGGAAGATTGCTCTTCGGGAGGTGATCCTTTACACCTATATTGATAATTAAATTTGAGATGTCACGTTCTACCTTTGTAGCAACTGACTAAATTTTATATTTCTTTTGTTTGGTTTTAGTCTCTTGCAGAGATCAATTTTCATTTATCGGAAGCTGAAATCACTGGAGGTATTTTTCTGAAATTATATTTTAAGAGGAGTTATTATTTGGAGGTTTACTTTACTTGTGTAGCTCAAATATATTGAGCCGGCATACATTATATTGGCCATGTATGCTTTTGTCTGAAAAAGTATGTGAACGTTTCTAGCCTGTTATCATTTCTGAGAGCTAAATCGTGTAGCTTGTCTTAAATTAGTTGTATGTCCGTTATATCATATTTATTTCCACTCTTGTTTGAAGAAGCTATTTATTTCCATTCTTGTTTCTCTTTTATCATTTATTTTCCTCTCTTGTATAGGATTACCTTGGACTTGTGTTTCTTTCTTGAGAGAATCATGTGGTCCAATATTTTTGACATCTAAACCTCAGCATTTTTAAGGATTATTGAATTCCTTATTTATATTTCGTCAACATTGTTTTTGTTAACAGAAACTAAATTTGTATTCATAATTTAAATTCAAATTACCTTCCAGGAATTTGTTTTCCGATGGGGAGAGGAGTTTATCGTGTGGTCCATATTCCTGAAGACGAATGCATTCTTTTGAATTCTAGGGAAAAGGCGCCATACATGATCTCCGTAGAAGTTTTGAAAGCGGAAACACCCAGGTAAATTTAACTTTCTTACCAATCTACTTCTTTTAATAGAAAGTTACCTTCTTTTCTATATCCCATTAATCATACGAAGTGTGAAACTTTTCATGATAACACTCTCCTATTGTTCTTTTTTGTTTTCTAATATTTGTTGCAGCAGTGCTAAAGATACATCGAACTCCCAGAAGCTTTCTAAAGGGGGAATTCCATTGGCAAACGGGGACGCATTCTTGCAAAAGCCACCTCCATGGGCTTATCCACTATGGACTACTCAGGAGGTTTATCGCAACAGTGCTGACCGAATGTCGTTATCCACTGCTCAAGCAATTGATCAGGCAATGACTCCTAAGTCAGAGGTGAAGGTGAAACTTGTCAATGTAAGTCTCTCAGTGGAGAATTGTACTTCAGCTCTTGAATCATTGTGCGATCCACTTGATGATGTTCTGGGGGAGGCCCCAAGGACTGGGTTGAACACTGATCTTGAATGGGTAAGGGTGGTCGTAACGGCTGACCCAGGACTTAGAATGGAAAGCATTCCTGATCCATCAGCCCCGCGTAAAAAGGAACATCGTCGTGTTCCAAGTACTGTTGCCATGGAGGAAGTAAGGGTGAGTGTTTCTTGATCAATTACTCTTAGGAGGCAACTAATATTATGTTTTTGTCATAAAAATATCCGCTACTTAATGTCTCTTTCAAGTCATTGGAATAATTCTTAATACTCAACTGAGTCGATGTTTTTAGTGCCTGTACTTGCTATTGTCCTTCCGACATGCTATACACTTCATTTTCTTATTAAGGCGTCTAAGGTTAGAAAGTCAAGATATTGAAATTGTATGTGTTCTGTTTGGTGTTGTGTTTCTACCCTTCATTAATCCTTAATTACATCACTTATGCAGGCTGCCGCAGCGAAGGGAGAGGCACCTCCAGGCCTTCCTCTCAAAGGGGCTGGTCAGGATTCGTCGGATGCACAACCAAGGGTATATGCATGTTTAACATAGAATATGGATCTTTCTCTTATTTTCCCTGTTTTAAGTGTTGAACTTTATATTTATGTTTTGTGTTGTTTACTAGGCCAACGGTGGAATGCTTAAGGAAGGTGATGCCTTATCAGGTGAACTTTGGGAGGGAAAGCGAGACAGAATACGTAAAGCTTCAATATATGGAAAGTTACCTGGTTGGGACCTGCGTTCTGTAAGTGCTACGAAAAGCCATTCCGTTTATTTTTTCTGTTTGCTGTTTCCCAATGAGTAAAATCCTCTAAATTAAGTTCTTTTGTTGATGAAATAGAATCAGTATATGTTTTGGGCCTTGAAGGCCTCAATCAGTTTGATATAGTACTCAAAGGTTTCTACTCGTGATTCCAGAATGTTTATTAAGGAATTTAAGGTTTAGTGTGAGCTTGATTTTTATCGCATAATTGAAAAGTACCTATGAACTACATGCACTCATTCGATCTTAATCATAGTTCTCTTCCAAGCCTGCAATAATGTAGACATCAAAGTAATGTCTGATGCACGAGTCTGCGCTAACTTTCTAAGAGACTTTGCTGATGTGCACTTTTGCTTTTTGCTGTCTTTCCAGCCGAATTTGTTTTTTGTCATTAAAACGCTGTTACTAAAGATGTTAGATACTCTCCGTGTTTAATCTTTATTGAATTGTGTCCTTGTGTGTTGACCATTATGCCATATGATATTCTTTTCTACCTCTATTTGTAAGTAGCTCTAGATTTTTGCAGATCATTGTGAAGAGCGGTGACGACTGTAGGCAAGAACATCTCGCTGTGCAACTCATTTCTCACTTTTATGGTAGGTGATACTTTTTCATATCTACTAATATCTTAATATCCTATTTCGTAGGGTATGCCTTCTCGATTTGTTTTTCAGGCTTACTTATTCTGTTATTTAAGATAAGGATCTTTCTGCCTTATAAAGTAACTGTATTGTTCATGTGCTAGATATATTCCAGGAAGCCGGTCTACCCCTCTGGTTACGTCCTTATGAAGTCTTGGTTACATCTTCTTATACTGCCCTTATAGAAACAATTCCAGATACGGTAATGATATAAACAAGAACTCTTCAGTTGTACTAGCAACAAAGTTTCTGCACATCTGTTTAGTTGCTACGTAATATCCTGTAATCAAGCTTTTTACATTGAAAGTGTATGTAAAAAGAGGTACCATTTTCCTTCCTGCAGGCTTCTATTCATTCTATCAAAAGTAGATATCCCAACATAACGAGCCTACGTGATTTCTTTGTTGCAAAGTATAAAGAAAACTCTCCAAGTTTTAAGCTCGCCCAGGTAATGTACTGCTGCTAGGTCTTAATAGTTTCATTCAACCAGCACGTTAGTAACTTTGTTTCAGGAATTTGCAAGACTTCTGTCTGTTAAACATGTTATTGTGATACGGGAATTATAGAAATTGCATTCTCTTGAGAATGTACTTTGCATTGGACTTTCAAGATAGTTTCTTTATGAACTAAAGCTGCTTGGTTCAAACTTTGAGGATTATGTTCATAACTACCAACTTGTGTCGGATGCCATGTTGTGTATATAACCTTGCGCATTGGCTTCTTTTGCAGAGGAATTTCGTTGAAAGTATGGCCGGATATTCTTTGGTCTGTTACCTTCTGCAGGTAAATGTCTTAGTGACCCCTTTTCTCAGTACGTTGTGTATTTATCTATAGGTTTTACACGTTTTGATGTCATTGATCAGTTTCATGAATAGCATGTTTTGACATTTTATTGCTTATGTGCCGATGGTTGATTATCTTTCGGTTTAGGTAAAAGATCGTCATAATGGAAATCTTCTCTTGGATGAAGAGGGTCACATTATACACATTGATTTCGGTTTTATGCTTTCGAATTCTCCTGGTGGCGTAAACTTTGAGAGTGCCCCGTTTAAGTTAACCCGTGAACTTCTTGAGGTAAGACACTAATTCATAAACTCATATCTTGGATCATCGTCTCTTCAAAGTTTTCTTTGGTCATGCATGTTTCATTGCGAAGCAGTTGAATCTTTTAGTCTAAATTTACAAAAAAAAATGTTTGTCACATCCAGGTCATGGACTCTGATGCTGATGGGGTTCCAAGTGAGTTCTTTGACTATTTCAAGGTATCTGCATGGCTTGTCCTCTCACCTTTTCATTTTTAAATCACTTGAGACTATTATTGTTTCAAGCTGTTATGTGGAATGGCCGTTAATTGTCAATTCTTCTTAATTAGGTGCTATGCATTCAAGGATTCCTTACATGTAGAAAGCATGCGGAAAGGATTATTCTCTTAGTTGAAATGTTACAGGTTCAGAATCTCTAGCTTCTTTTCACTAACCAGAATTAGTTATAAAACATGGCAGCAAGCCTAATTATTTGCCTTGTGAATTATATTTTCTGGTGTTGTTTCTATTAGGATTCGGGTTTCCCTTGCTTCAAAGGTGGTCCACGAACCATTCAAAACCTAAGAAAACGATTTCATCTAAGTTTAACTGAGGAGGTAACCGTTTTCTTTTATCTTCGTCGAATCAATCCATTTCACATGATCCACGACAATTTCCTCATTCTTTCTTTTTGTTTATTTTTTGGGGGTGATCACAAAACCAGCAATGTGTCTCTTTGGTCCTCTCTCTCATCAGCAGTAGCTTAGATGCTTGGCGGACACGACAATATGATTACTACCAACGGGTCTTAAATGGAATATTGTGATGTTCCAAAGAACCAACCTAAAAAGGGTAAAAAACTCACAACATACATTGGTATGTTGGGTTAGCTCATAAAACAATACGTTTTTGAGGAACCCTTTTCATAGTAGCAATCAGAATCCTTCCCAAGGCAGGAGAAGATGCCTGGAGAGATCGTGTGTGCAAGCATGGGAGAAGAAACCGGTCACACGTGCGACTCATATCATACGTGGAGGAGAAAACTACAATTTGTGTACAGAATATGATTTTTGCAGAGGTTTGATTGTTATCTTACTTACTTGCTCTACTAGTACTTGTAGGAGAAAAGAAGGCAAAAGCCTGAAATTTTCTTCCTCCCAAAAGCTCAAAACAAAGCCCTTTTACAGAGGTTAAAAAGGGCAATGTTTTGTTTTTACTTTGTTTCTCGTCAAAACTCATGATGTGATATTGTTGTATAAATTGTGTATTATCTTTTTTTTTCGGGTTTGAAATTAGAGTATGAGCAAGGAAAAACGAAACAGATCATACTTCATATTTCATGAAGATGTGTGTTATATCACTCTCTCCATATATTCAACTTTCAGAATCAGAATGTCGTGTCTAATTATTTCACTGACGATTCTTATGATTCTATCCAATAATCAAACGGAAAGTGGGAAACCAATAGTCAAATTGTTGGAGAAACAACTATTTACCAAAAGAAAGGGAAGGGCAAAACTGAGGTGGGCGAAGTCATCGGGCCAATCAGGGATGCTCCTTTCCTTTGTTTCCTTAGCTTCCAATTTATTTATAAAATATAATTATATAAATATAAATTAAATTTGATTTGCTATATCTTTCTCAAACCTTGACAACATAACTCAGTTTCCAAATAAAATAGTAAATCTCAAATCAAATTTCAAAAAGAAAATGCAATCAGCATCTCGCTTAACTCATTTCCGATTTCCATTTTTATTCCTCTTATTATTATTATAATAAATCCCATTTTGAATTTTATAATCAATCATAACAATAAGATCAAAGCTATATAATTAATATCATAAATCTTCAAGTTGTTGTTGGAAACCAGTAACACAATAAAAAAGTAGACTGAACTGTCTAATGTAATTACACTACTTTACATACCATTAACTTATGGTAAAAGTATTTTATATAAAAAAAAAAACTTTATGGTAAAAATAGTTATTGCTTACGGAACCACAACTAAAAAGTAAAAAAAAAGTTTTATATATTTTGGTTTTTGGCCTATTACACAATTTATCATTGAATTGCAAAATAATCTCTAAACTTTATTTCGCAAAATAATAAACGCGTAATTAGATCTATATAAACCCTAAACCCCATCACTCTCTTACACTCCCCCTGGCTTCTCCTTCAAGCTATACTCTCATTCTCTCTCCTCCGACCAAAGTCTTCTGTTCCTCCGCTCTCCTTCTCCTACGGGTGCGACTTCTCCTCTCTTTTATCTTCTTTTACTTAAACCCGTTAATGTTTCTCACTTGTATGGTTCGGTTTCCGATGTAATCTCTCTCGTCTTCTCTGTTTCTTGAAAATGGGTTTTCATTTCTTGTGATTTCTGGGTTTGATCTTAGCTTACATCAATTTTGATGCTTTCCTTGATCAAAGGCTTAAATTCTACTGTGGAGATTATATGTTTACCAAATTTTGATCAGTTAAAAACAAAATTACAAAATCAAAATTAGCCCTAGAATTTGTTTTTGTTGTTACAGTCCCATTATTAAAAGGTTTCTTCTTTTATGTGTGTTATAAAACAGGTGCTTCTTTTGTGTTGTACAGCAGATGTCTGTTGATATCTGCAAGAAGAATCCATCGTTTCTTTGGTGTGACTGTGGTTATATGAGCAAAGGAATGTTGTGGTGCTTTCAGACAATCTTGTTCAATCATTGGACTTGAACCTTTCATAGCTCTTCATGTTGTCTTCTTCTTAGCTTTTTTGTTTTTTTTTTTCACAATTCTTTGTTGTTGTTTTCTTTGGTTCTGCTGGTTCTTGTTATTGTGAATCTGAGAGAAAATTCGAAAGTTACTTAGTGTAGTGAAAGTTTTCCCCTTCTCTTCCAATGGGGAAAACTAACTTGGCACCTGGATTTCGGTTTCATCCTACTGATGTTGAACTTGTGAGATACTACTTGAAGAGGAAAGTTATGGGGAAAAAGTTCCAAGTTGATGCCATTGCTGAGATCGACATTTACAAGTTCGAACCACCTGATTTACCCGGTATCTCTTATTCTTTCAGAAAACTTGTTCTGTTTCATGCTTTCTTATTTGTAACCTAATTTACTAACAGAGGTTTCTTTATATTGTGCAGAGAAATCATGTCTAGGGACTGGAGATCTTAAGTGGTACTTCTTCTGTCCAAGAGAAAAGAAGTATCCCAAAGGCGGTAAGGCAAACCGCTCTACTGAATGTGGTTACTGGAAGACCACAGGGAGAGACAGAGATGTTTCTTACAATGACGAAGTCACTGGGAAGATAAGAACTCTGATTTATCACTACGGGAAAATACCCCGCGGTGATCGGACTGATTGGGTCATACATGAATATAGACTTGAAGACAAAGTACTGGCCCAAAAGAATGTTCCTCAGGTAATGATTTATTCTTTTGTTCTAACATTTTGACTTCTTGCAAGTTTACTAAATATGTTGTCGTTGTGCCTGCAGGATACTTATGTGCTTTGCGTTCTCTTTAAGAAAAATGGACTTGGACCAAGACATGGATCTCAATATGGTGCTCCATTTAAAGAAGAGGATTGGAGTGATAAGGAAGAGGAATATACTCAGACTCATATTGTAGCTGTTCCTTGTGCAGAAAACAACAATCCTGGTCCTAGCAAAGAAACCAGTCTAGCTGCTACGGCCTCACAATCGCACGCTCCTAAGGATTGTTTGACAGGAGTGATCTCAGAATCTTGCGTCTCTGATGTACCGCCACTAACTGCCACAGTACTGCTTCCACCTCTAACAAGTGATGTTGTAGCTTACAATCCCATGTCTTCTTCAGCTCTTCCTGAGGTTCCTCAGGTATCTCTCGATGATGGCGAGTTAAATTCGTTGCTCGATCTCTTTTCTGTTGACAATGACGACTGTTTACTTTTCGACGATTTCGACTACCAAAATGAGGTAAGTCTATCTCTGCATCATACTTTTGATGAATCAGATTTCAGTGTTCCTTAAAGAAACTTTTGTTAATTGCTTCTGAATCTACAGGTAAGACATGAGCCTGATGTTTTTGTAAACGAGGAAGCTCCAGTTTTCTTAGGAGATGGCAATTTCAGTGGAATGTTTGACCTGAGCAACGACATGGTCGTAGAGCTACAGGATCTGATCCAGCCAGCCACACCTCCTCCTCCTCCTCCTGCTCAAGCCAGTAATCCTGATGACTCAAGAAGCAACGGTCAGACTTAGGACCATCAAAAAATATTATGTGCTGATTTATGATCTTTCTTGCATTGATGCTTCATGGAAACAGAGACCAAACATGTGAAGCTTCAGCTAGAATGTTTTTCTTCTGGCGCCATCTCTGTCTGCACGAAAGAGACAAAACCATGAATCAGTAAACGTCCAGCTGTGGAGCCAGCTTTCTATGTTATGTTTCTGCAACTTTGTCTGTAGTCTTAGATTTCATCATCATTTATGTGGCAAGAACCTTCTCTTTAACTTGTGTAATTCCATGGATTCTTATTTATTAGCTTAGCTTCCATGATAATGCCACCATTTAACTTTTAAATTCAATGCCACAATTACTCGAGTTTGCGATATAATGGGGTGTAAATATGTGGAAAGCATAGTAGGAGGATGCAAGTAGAAAAGTAACAAAAGTTATAGAACAATGTTACTTTTCAGCGAAAACGACAAAACGGCATCGTTTCTTTCATCCCTCCTTAAATAATAAATAGCCCAGTGTATTTTTCCAATTAGGGGAGTATATAGGTATAAAGTATAATATGGGGATGAAATTTTAAAAGTATAAAAGTTATGAGGCTTTAATCGAATTTATTGCTTTTGCTTTGCTTTGCGACTTTCTTCTTTCCGGATAATCAAATCCTTTTATCCTCTGAAAAATCTCAACTTTCGAAGAAAAAACGCAAAATGGCGAGCCTTGTCTACGGGACGCCGTGGCTTAGGGTTAGGTCTTTACCGGAGCTTGCTCCAGCTTTTCTCAGACGTCGTCAATCTTCTTTATTTTACTGTTCTCGGCGAAGCTTCGCGGTGGTTGCGTGTTCTTCACCAGTTAATAATGGTGGGTCTGTTAGAGTTCGTTTCGCGCCTTCTCCCACTGGTAATCTCCATGTAGGTGGAGCAAGGACTGCTCTTTTCAACTACTTGTTCGCGAGGTTCGTGATCTGATTAAGAGCAGACCAATATTGAGAGTTTTTGGGATTGTAACTGATTGAGTTTTTTACAGGTCTAAAGGAGGGAAATTTGTGCTGAGAATTGAAGATACGGATTTGGAGAGATCAACACGTGAATCTGAAGCAGCTGTTCTTCAGGATCTCTCATGGCTAGGTCTTGATTGGGATGAAGGTTGCCTTTTTATTCTTCCTCTCTGTGCTAATTTAGGTGTTTTTCAATGGTGGGGTAATGAAATTGGGATTGAAATTTCAGGTCCTGGGGTTAGTGGAGACTTTGGTCCTTATCGACAATCCGAAAGAAATGCTCTTTACAAACAATATGCAGAGAAGCTTTTAGAGTCAGGTCATGTCTATCGATGCTTTTGCTCAAGTGAGGTGATTAGCTTCAAATTCGCTGAACACCTTCAGCTTGGTTTTTTTGACTCTGTTGTTGACTTTGATCAATTGTTATGTTTATGTAGGAACTTGTAAAGATGAAGGAGATTGCAAAGTTGAAACAGTTGCCTCCAGTATATACCGGGAAATGGGCAACAGCTTCTGATTCTGAAATAGAGCAAGAGTTAGAAAAGGGAACACCTTTTACTTACCGATTCCGTGTGCCAAAGGAAGGCTCTTTGAAAATTAATGACCTGATTCGTGGCGAGGTTAGTATTATAGGTTTTTTTGTGCTTAATTCTCAATCTATCGTTAGAGAGGAAGTTACAAGCTTTCTTTTATGATCTTCGAAAGTTAATTTCTAACTAATATCCACTGTAAAAAAGGTCTATCGGTTCATAAATGTTATGTAAAGCTTGATAATACCTTCTTGTAATTGACCATGTCTGATAGTGTCTTGAAGGTATGTTGGAACTTGGATACTCTTGGAGATTTTGTGGTAATGAGGAGTAATGGCCAACCTGTTTACAACTTTTGTGTTACTGTAGATGATGCTACCATGGCTATATCACATGTTATAAGGTTACTACTCCAGTGTCTTCTTTTGGAACTTGATTTCTCTTCTCTTTAACATATTTGAACGTGATCTTCATCAAATTCATTGACTTTCGTTTCAGGGCGGAAGAACACTTACCTAATACTTTGAGGCAGGCTCTAATTTACAAGGTAAGCATTACCTTATGTTTGTTTATTCCAATTTCTTTTGGAAGTTATGTGATCCTGAAGATAGGAGTAAGAAGTTGATTTAGTACTGTCTGTATCAATATATGGCAGGCTCTGGAGTTCCCGATGCCTCAGTTTGCACATGTTTCTTTAATTCTAGCTCCGGATAGAAGTAAACTGTCAAAGCGACATGGGGCAACTTCTGTAGGCCAGGTGTTTTTAGCTGTTGCTGCCGTTACTGCACGTAGATCATAGATTACTCAATTCCTGATTCTTCATCTAATTTCTGCTTTACGTTCCTTTGAAAAAATACAGTACAGAGAGATGGGATATCTACCTCAGGGAATGGTTAACTATTTGGCACTCTTAGGTTGGGGAGATGGGACTGAAAATGAATTCTTCACACTCGAGGAACTTGGTAGGTCGTTTTTGTTAACTGTAGTTATGTTTTGTTTGATCTTTGTTTTCATCCTTAGCTTTTCTGATATCTTCGTTGAATGTTTGTTCTTGATTTGCAGTTGAAAAATTCTCGATCGAACGTGTCAACAAAAGTGGTGCAATTTTTGATTCAACAAAGTTAAGGTGATTACATAATTTGCTTAGCTGTTTGAATTCTCCAATTTTCCTCTCTCCTGTTTTTCGTATCTATGTGTGTTCTCTACTTTTTGCTAATAAATAGCTTCAATGCATATCTATAAACTCAAAGATGGATGAATGGTCAACATCTGAGGGCACTTCCAAAGGAAAAACTAGCAAAACTTGTTGGTGAGCGATGGAAGAGTGCTGGTATCTTAACAGAATCCGAGGGGAGTTTTGTAGATGTAAGGTTTCTAATCATGACTCCACACTTTCTTCTGATCCTAATATAACGCCTTGGATTTAGAACAACAGATATTTTCTGTACAGACTTACCGAATTTGAGCTTGTTGTTGAAGTACAGGAAGCTGTCGAGCTTCTTAAGGATGGGATCGAGTTGGTCACAGACTCAGACAAAGTACTTTTGAACTTGCTTTCATATCCTCTACACGCTACATTGGCTAGGTAACTATCAAACCGTTTGTTCCTCCTGCATCACCTCTTTTCTTTCAATAAATACTTTTTTTCTGGAGCTCTGAGTTTATGGTGATTTGAGATTTTCCGCACCTGATGCAGCCCTGAAGCTAAGTCTGCCGTGGAAGACAAACTTCATGAAGTAGCAGCCAGCCTCATAGCTGCTTATGACAGCGGTGAGATTCCAAGCGCTTTAGAAGAAGGACAAGGTGCTTGGCAGAAATGGGTGAAAGCCTTTGGCAAATCATTGAAACGCAAAGTTAGTCATCTCTCTAATCCAGTTAATACGAAAGAAATTCTGCTTTACTTGAATGGACAAACGTTACAAGAGATTCTTATGATGTTGGTTACAGGGTAAATCACTTTTCATGCCACTACGAGTGTTGTTAACGGGAAAACTCCATGGTCCTGAGATGGGCACCAGTATTGTTCTGATTCACAAAGCTGGAAGTTCCGGTATAGTGGTTCCTCAGGCTGGGTTTGTATCCATGGAGGAACGGTTTAAAATTCTCAGGGAGATAGACTGGGAAGCTTTGAACAAAGATGAGAGTGTGCCTCTTGAATCTACAGCCACAGTATCAACCTGAGAAAACTCCCCTTTTCAAATTTTCTTCAATTTTCCGTTAGTTGGTGAGAAAGACAGCCCAGAGATTTTGATTCCTCGTGCATTTCTTGTTTCCCGAAACAAATGGCACAACGAAATTTGTAGATTATAATGTATCAGCAAAGGAACAAACCAGAGTGCTTGTAACATTATCAGGCTGTTTTAAGCTTTCCATGCTCTGTTTTGTTAACGTTTTCTTATTTGTTTGTTTTTTGGGTCATAATTTTCTTATTTGTACGTTCTCTCTAAAGAAAAAGTCTTATAATAGTTAAAGACTTAAAGCTCTCCTGTTGTTCTTTTTATGAAACATAGGCTTTACCAAATTAGAGCCAGAATCCAAAATCTTACCTGACCGGGATAAAGTTCAGGTCTTTTGGAGCTAAACCGGATCAGACTGTTACGGGTTTCTAAGAAAACAGAGTACCAAACAGATTTTTGTGGTGGGGACTGAAGTGAATCTAACCACATAAACACTTGAAAGAGAATCTGAAAAACTCAAAACTTTGAAAGCTTTGAGTAACAAGAAAAGGTTTGGACTTTTGCCAATAGGACTGAAGGGAAATCTCATCTTATCCACACTCCAACCACAATCCCTTATTACATCTAAGTCCACGTCATCATCATCCTCATTCATCTCTAATACTAAAATCTGATCTCTTCCTTCCTCACTCACCAATCAAACTCAAAAAAACTCTTGAATTTTTCAAGAACAAAAGAAAAAGAGATCTTTAATGGCGGCCATGAACTCGAGTGTTCTCACTTGCAGCTACGCCATTGCTGGTTCTGGCTCAGTAGAGCTAAACCAGAAAGTTGGTTTGGTGAATTCATCAGTTGGGTTTGGTCAGAAGAAACAGATGATTATGCCTGTGATCAAAGCTCAACGAGTTGTTGGTGATGATGTTGATGGATCGAATGGAAGAAGATCAGCCATGGTTTTCTTAGCAGCTACGCTCTTCTCCACTGCTGCTGTTTCTGCTTCTGCTAATGCTGGCGTCATCGATGAATACCTCGAGAGGAGCAAAGCCAACAAAGTAAGTCTTTGAATGTCTGAATCTTGACATCTCTAAAGATCCTAAAGGTCCTGTTGTTTTTGAACTATTGATTATAGGAACTTAATGATAAGAAGAGATTGGCAACAAGTGGGGCAAACTTTGCGAGAGCATTCACTGTTCAATTCGGAAGCTGCAAGTTCCCTGAGAATTTCACTGGCTGCCAAGATCTTGCCAAGCAAAAGGTTTGTCCAATATTCACAACGTTTTCTTTCCTTTGGTGAATAATTTAACTTGAAGAGATTGTGATGTTCGTTTTCTATTTTGCAGAAAGTTCCATTTATCTCAGAAGATTTGGCTTTGGAATGCGAAGGCAAAGACAAGTATCAGTGTGGTTCCAATGTTTTCTGGAAATGGTGAAGAACTTGTTTGTTTTCATCTATTCTTATATAAATCCAACAATGTATCTATATATCTCTCTCTATTCATGAAAGTTCTTTCATCCATTTGAATCTATCAAGTTAAAACTCTATTAAGAGATTAGGAAGCATTATTTTGATTCTAGTTCAGCTTTAAGATAAAAATCTGATCGAGTACTGCAAGTTTGTTTGAAGAAATTTCAGTTTAGTTTCAG